AAGTATTCAACTTGAGATATTTTGTTATAGCAATGGAAAACTGGACCAAACACAGAAGATTGATACCAAGAATTGGAATCATTACTATAACTGAACCTAAAAATGTGGAACTCGTTTTGGACCTAAGTAACAAGCAGAAGTTGGAAGAATTTGGAGGAGCTGCCTAGGAAAAATCCTGGAATGCTGTATGTGAGGCATTAGGGGTGATTCTGATGAAGGCTCAGAAAACAAGACTAGGGAACTACTTTCAGAAGGAAATGAGGATTTTATAGGAAATTGTAGTAAAGGTCATCCTTTTTAAACTGTTGAAAGAACTTGACTATGTTGTATCCATGCATTAGAGCTTTATGAAAGGATGAATTTAAGAGGGGTGTCCTAGGATATTTGGTGGGAAAAAAAATTTCCAAATGGCAAAGCATTTTCTGGCTGCTTTTAGTCATATTTCCAGTGAGATTTGGGAGCAAGAGGAAAATTCATAGCTTGGCCAGGGGAGAAGAGAAAAAGCACCTTTGAGAGAACACAATGAGAGAGTAGCCCAGCATGCTAAAGAGATTAACCTGGGAAAAAAAGGAACTATATGCTAATTGGCAAGATAATTGGGCCTTCAGGGTATCTCAGAAACCTTCAGGCCACTTCTCCCATCACAGGCCCAGAGGTCTAGAATAGTAATATTTCAGGGAACTCGGGTGATCTCTCCATGGACTTGCCGCCCAGGTCTTCCACAAGAGTCTCCATGGCTGAAGCTGTAGTTCAAATGAAATCAAACACAGTTCATGTCGGCAGCACACTTTGATAGTGTTCTCGTGGTGCTAGTTCTACAGGTGGACAGAGCGCAAAAGTTATGGAGTGGTAGCAGCTTCCACTAGAATTTCAAAGGAAAGTGTGGGAAATCAGGCAGCAGAGACCTGCTCCAGAGCCAGAGCCAGTGAAGATTCTCCACTGAGAAAATGCCTGGTGGAGCTGCTGAAGTGGATCCGCAGCAGGGACCCCAGGAAAGTAGAGCAACCAGCAGTATGCAGAGCCAGCCTAGTAAAACTGCAGGCCTCAGCATACAGCCAGAGAGATAACCGTGTCACTTGAAACCAGCAAAGCCAGTGGACAGGGTACCCTGAGGGATGGAGGTCCATTCCCCTAAAGGTTGCACAAGATGTCAGACTTAGAACTTCAAGATTAAGTGTCTACCCTGATGGATTTTATTCTTGCTGGAGACCTGTGACCCCCCCCACCCTTCCCTTTTCTTTAGGCATGTATTTATTCTTTAGGCAATATTTATTTTGTGTCTGCCTGTCTGTTGCAGCTTAGAAAGGTATAATTTGTTTTTGATTTTATAGGCTCCTGCCTGCAAGCTCCTGCCTTGATTCTCAGATGAGACATTGGACTTGGACTTTTGAGTGACAGGGGAATGAGTCAAGACTTTGGCACTCCTGGGGATGGATACATGTTGCGTTGTAGACTGCACTCGAGCACTTGAGGAAGGGAAGGCTATGGTTTGAATATAGTTCAAGGGCATCCCCCAAAAGTTCATAGATTGGAAGCTTGATCTTTAGTAAGAGTGCATATTTGAAGGTGGTAGAACCTTGAATAGGTGGAGCCAAGTGGAAGGTGATGGGATCCTAGGATCTGCTGACCTTGGAAGGAATTAATGTAGTTCTCATGGGATCCTGGTTAGTTCTCATGAGTGGGTTATCAGAAAAAGCCAGACTAACCCCTCCTTTCTCTCTCTTTCTCTCTCTCTCTCTCTCTGACTTCCCTTTTCACCATGTGATCTCTGCTTTTCATACACACTTCTAACATAATATCCTCCACAGTGGAACAAAACCAAGGGGTTGTCACCATGGGCCAAATACATAGGGAAGCCTGATCTTGGAATTTTAGCTTCCAAACCTGTGAGATAAATACACTTCTTTTCTTTATACATTATCCAGGGTCAGTTATTTTTCTATGAGAAATGGATTAATACAGTGGGCTCATAGGTTGCTTGTCATTTAGGGTTTTGTCCTTCACAACTTTACAAATCTACCCCAGGTAGTCATTTGTGCTTCTGGGTCCTTTTGAAAAAATGAGTGCATCATACTTATATCAAACGGTAGGGGTTCATTTTCACATATTCATAAATGCATATCATACAGTTTTCCTCAATTCAGTCTCTAGTATTTCCTCTTTCCCTTTATTCCTCCTTCCCACTGATAACCCTTCCTCTACTTCATTGGTCTTTTTTCTTTTTATTTATTTATTTACTTAGTTTTTAATTGGCCCATTATAGTTTTTTATGATTTAGATGTGTTCCCCAAAAGCTCATGTGTGAGACAATGCAAGAAGGTTTGGAGGAGAAATGATTAAGGTTATAGCCTTAACTTTATCAGTGACTTAATCCCTGATGGGGTTCACTGAGTGGTAAGTGGAGGCAGATGGGATGTGGCTGGAGGAAGCATTTCATTGGCTTTGGGGTATATATTTGTTTCTGGCAAGTGGAGGTCTCTCTCTTTCTGTGCCCCATCATCCTGTGAGCTGCTTCCCTCTGCCACACTCTCCACCGTGTTGTTCTGCCTTGCCTGGAGACCTGAGGAGTGGAACGAGCTCTCTATGGATCAAGACCTCTGAAACTGTGAGGCCTCAAGTAAACTTTTCCTCCTCTACAATTATTCTGGTCAGTCCTTTTAGTCATAGCAGAGAAAAAGCTGACTAAAACATAATTATATTTAAAACTGGAACGAATTATGATATGTTCATATCTGTGCATAATTTGGTTAACATCCTACTCTAATTCTTCCCTTTTTCCACTGATCCCCTATTTGTTCTCTACTGATCTCCCTTCTCTTTTCAAGAGATGCACACTTTTCTGTCTGACTTCCTCATACGAGAGAAAACATTTGACCCTTGACTTTCTGAGTCTGGATTATTTCACTTAGCCTAATGTTCTGCAGTTCCATCCATTTACGAGCAAATGACATCATGTCACTCTTCTTTATGACTGAGTAGAAATACATTGTGCACATATCCTACTCTTCTTTATCCGTTTGTCTATTGATGGTCACCTAGGCTGGTTCCATAACTTGGCTATTGTGAATTGTGATGCTCTATATTTAGGAATATTTACTTTGTGCCTGTCTGTTCCTATGCATGTATCACTATAGTATGCTGATTTTAATTATTTTTGGATAAATATCAAGAAGTAGGATATCTGGGTCACATGGTTACCAAAAGACCATTAGTCTTTTGAGGAATCTCTATACTGCTTTCTAAAGTTGTTGTATTAATTTGCTCCCATCAACAATGTGTAAGTATAGCTTTTCCCCCTACATCCTTATCCGCAATTATCATTATTTGTATTCTTGGTGATTGCCTTTCTAACTGAGGTGAGAGGAGATCTCAGTGTAGTTTGATTTGCATCTTCATGATTGCTAAAATGTTAAATAATTTTTCATATGTTGACTGGCCATTTGTATTTTTTATTTGGGGAAATGTCTCTTTAGATCTTTTGCCTATTTATTATGTGGATTATTAAGGTTTTTTGGTGTAAAGTTTTTAAGTTCTTTTTATAGTCTTGTTATTAAGCCCCTGTTGGAAGTGTATTTGGCAATGATATTCTCCATTCTGTAGGCTCTGTCTACATACTCTTGTTTCCTTTGATGTGCAGAATCTTTTAAATTTAATTACCTACCATTTATAGATTCTCAGCTTTATTTTTTGATCTTTTGGACTCTTAAGGAGGTTGGTGGCTGTGCCAGTGTATTGGAATGTTGTCCCTATATTTTCTTCTAGCAGTTGCAAATTTTCTGGTCTAATTTCTAGGTCCTTGATCCACTGTGAGTTGATTTTTGTGCAGGGTAAGAGGTAGGGATTTAGTTTCATTCTTCTATATACCAATATCCCTTTTTCAATGCACCATTTGTTTAAAAGGCTATTGTACCTTTGTCAAAGGTCTGATAACTGTATTTGTGTGCATTTGTTTGAGTCTTCTAGTTTATTCCATTGGTCTTCATATATGTTTTTTTAATGCCAACATCATGCTGTTTTTGTTACTGTAGTTCTGTAGTATAATTTGAGATCAGGTATTGTGGTGCCTCTCATCTTACTCAGGATTGATTTGACTCTTCTGGATCTTTTATTCTTTCATATAAATTTTAGGGCTGTTTATTCTAGTTCTGTGAAGAATGTCATTGGTATTTTGATGTGAATTGCATTGAATTTGTAGATTGATTTTGATATTATGGCTATTTTGGTGATATTGATTTTACCTAATGAACATGGTAGGTTTTTCCATCTTCTAAGGTTTTCTTCACTTTTTTCTTCAGCGTTTTATAATTTTAATTATAGAGTTCTTTTATATCTTTAATTATATTTATTCCTAAGTATTTTGGGGGGCTACTGGGAATGGAGGAATTTTATTGATTTCTTTCCAGCAGTTCATCATTGGTATATAAGAAAGCTCTTGATTTTTGTGTGTTCTCTTATGGATAGAGTATTTTTCCATTTCAAGTAAAGCAACTTGAATCAAGCATACAGAATGCTTGTAGGACTTCATAAGGTACAAAACTGTAAACATTAATATTTATTATTATTGGAAGATAACGGGAAAAACAAATTACCATTCAAAAATGTTCATGACGTATATTATAAACTCAAGGAAAGTCTTCTCAAAATAAGCATGTTCATAGGCTTTATCTGTTGGATGTACCAGTTATAAATCATTAGTGGGAAACTGAGACTAATTAGTAGAAAAATCTATAGTCTGAAAGTATGTGTGAAGAGAGCCTAAGAGCCAGTGGCTTGAACATCAGTCATAACTAGCTGGGATTGCTGTCTTATTCACCCATAACTTAGAGCAGTTTACTCTCTGGTCTTTTATTTCCTTATCAGTGAAATGAGAATTATATGAAAAATTACATCATATAAATTTATAAAGCATAACACAGTGTCTGGGTCAAAGAAATTATAGCCAAAATGAGTATTATTTTGTGTTATTTTTATTATCACTGTCGTCATCATCATCATCATCATCATCATCATCAGAAACAGGATTTCCTACTTGACTACAATTGGCATTGATATTTCTAAGGAAAGATAAATTTGGTGTGTGGCAACTCTGAGTGAGTTAGCCATATTTGTATACAATTAGGGGAAAAGGAGTTAGTAGGAAATTGTCAGACCCTAACCCCCACCTACCCCAGCAGTGGAGTTGTGGGGTGTAGATTTTCTATCTATGATAACTCTGTTGCCACTTTCACTCTAGGAGTTTTTCATTTCCTTACTGAAAGGGTGGCAGATACCAAATACTGAGTTTTTTTATACAAATAAAGTATCAACTAATTTCATATCATTCTAATCCATACCTTTTTTTAAGACCATTGTTGTACTTAAGAAAATAGCTTCCCTCCAAAAAACGTCTTCAATTGTAGTATTTGCCAATTTCCATAGTGTGCGTGTTCCTGACACTGCTAATTATAAGTTGTCAGCATGAAATCACTGAATACAGAGTTGTAAAGAGGTGAGCACAATTGCTCACAACAGTGTAAACTAGTTCCACTGCACTTCTGGGTCAAGAGAAAGTTCATGTTTTGACAGTGTAGAGTAGGATGATTGACAACAACACTTACAAGCAAATGCAATAGAGGGAAAGTACAGCCAGGATTCTCATAAGATTTTCATTTAACAGACTGCATAGATGATGGTGATTCCATAAGATTGCGCCATCTAGTATTGTCACAGCCATCAGTTTGTGTAATCACACTCTGTGATGTTCATACAATGATGAGATCAGTTATCAAAGCATTTTTTCAGAACCTATGCCTATTGTTAAGCCCTGCATGACAGTATTTTGTCCTCAGAGTAAGTAAGATCTTTCAGATATACTTGGCCCACAGGATTCATCCAGAAAGTGAGTTAATGTCAGGGTTTTTGAACAGTGTATTTCAATGCCATCTTTCTACCCTCTCCAGTCATACTTAGAAGAGAAGTCTTTTCCCAGCCTCTTGTTCTCCAAGCACATTTCTCTAATCATTTCCCAATTATTAAATACTTTGTTAACCAACAGTTTAGAGATTGGTCATGGATATGATGTCTAGATTTATAAAAACGTCTTCTTCCTTTTCTTCCTACCCTATCTTCATCTGCCTTCTGTGGCACTCTTTTTTCCTTTTTTGTTCCCCTACTTTCTTCACAAGTATTTTCTATCATCTTTTGTATTCCTAACTACCCCATGAGGTCATCAGAACAGGTAACGGTATCCATGATTTGCAAAAACAGTAAAGTACAAAATACTGCACTTGTATAAATCTGTCATGATATTCCCTTCAGTCTTAATTTGATATTTTGTGATTTTGAATATTTTCATATTTTGTGATATTTCCTGTTGATTTAACCAGTGACCACCTTTCCTTTGCTGTAATGAACTTAATTTGATTCTCCCCCTATTGTTTTGAAAACTGTATCATACTATGTCTAGGAAATTGCATTAGAGTACCATAAATACATTTCTGAGAACTTTTAATTAAGCAATGATACCTAGAACCTTTCATCATAGTTAAGCCCCTGGAGATGATATAACAGCATTATCTTGGGAAGTCATTCTGTTTTCAGCTGCTCATCGCTGGAGCAAGCAGAATTCTGTTATGAACCATTTTTGAACTGTTAAAGTATTACCAGTTGATGATTTTTTTCAATATAGTGGATTTAAAAAAAAAAAAAAAACAAGAGGTCTTTTTCTTAACGGCCCCTCAAAAGTGTTCTGGAAGCCTAATGAGCCAAGCTGAAGAGAAAAGGTATTTGAAATACTGATTTGGCATTTACCATGAAGCTCTCTGCAGACGTGCTTGAGATCATCGCTTGTGCCATTCTCATCCTTGTCAGCTTTGTGGGAAACACTTGTTTATTTTATTCTACAAGGAAGTGCATCTCTGGATGTTTGAAGACATCATTTCTTCTCATTTTCAGTCTTGTATTTGTCCACCTTATAAAAAACTTGGTGGTCAATGTCATGAAAATTGTGTATTCTTCTGGTATCGTGCTGGATTCAGCTGGCTGCAAAGTTCTGCACTTCACTGCAGCCCTGACAACTTCACTGGCCATCTGGTTCCTGTTACACTTTGCATTGTTCTACCACCGGAAGCTCTACCACATTGTCTACTGCTCCAGTGAGGCTGCAAACCTGGACCAACAGAAACATTCCCTGAAGCGGGTCTCTGCACTTTGGGTGGCTGGTGTGGCAGTGTACATCCCAGTTTTAATTTATACTAGGAAATCAGAATACCTGAACACAGGAAACGATACAGACTCCTTGTCGACTAACAGGATTTACATGGATTGCTTAATTGGCTTTGGAAACAAGCAGGTAGAGTTTTACTATGGGAAAATATTTTTAGTTCTGATTGATATTCTTCCCTTAGCTATCTTAGTCTTTGTCTGTTTCTGGATGTCTTTCCTCCTCTCAGAGAAAAAGAAGATGACATATGGTGACATCTGGATTGGAGATGATGATTCAGAAACTGAAATTCTTAGAGGGGCCAAGTTCAGTATTTTATTAATGTTGCTGATCACTCCACTTTGGATTTCTCACTTTGTCTTAGTCTATTTCTTGAAAGACTTGGCAGCCTATGTCTTTATTCCAGCTGTTCTCACAGCCCTCTCTTCAGGCTTCTCTGCTCTCAGTCCTTTCCTGCTTATGTTGGTTAATTATAAAATGAAGTTGGTGTCTTTCTGTAACGCCAAGGAGGAAACACCCGCACCACAGTCTGTGAATGTTACTCTTTCTCCATATGCTTAATAGCCAAGAACTCAATTTTAATCCCCGGAAAACAGGCCTTGTGTCTGGAGGGTGCAGCTAAAGTTTTCATAGCCCTTATTAAATAACAGTTTCTGAAAGGACTGCTAGAGAATTGACTCATCTCCAAAATAGACTAACGAGGGAAACTGCTAGAGGAAGACATAAGATGGCTAAGTTACTGCCTATAGAAGAAAAATAATCATCACACTATTTTTTATTTAGGATAATACCAAGACTTTTTATGTAGCAATTCTAAAGTAACAACAGTCACAGTCTGGAAATGAACTCAAAATAAACACTATATTAAGTATTTACTCTGTGCAATGTGTTGTATTAAAAAAAAAAAAACCATACTGTTGAAACTGAGGATAACGTTTCCTAGATGAATTCCCAAAGATACTCCTGAGTAATCTTATGTTTTCATCTGTGTTTTTCTTGAAATGCCTCCACACATATTGGAAGTACATTAGGTAGGTGTGTGGTGTTCGGTTTTTGCACTTTTAGTAATAGTACCTCATGTAATCTGGAAGTACATTTTATTCATTGGCCTTACCCTAAGTATCTATAGTGTATTAGGGCTAAATAAAAGCAAAGAATTAAAGAATTAACTTGCTAAATTATACTCAGTGTGATTATGTAGATGTACAACTGTTTGGTCGCTACAGACAGGTAGCCCTCTGTCATTGCTTAAACATGAAAACATATATCAAACTATACTCTTTTATTAAGAAAAAATGACATTTATTTTATACATGATTTATTTCCCCCTTTTGGTTATTACATTGGTACATTTACAAATTACAAAAGAACCGATAAAGTGTTCCTAATAATTTGGTTTCTTGATCAATAAAAGTAATCACATTATAATTCCAATTAAAAATACATGGTTGGGTTTTTATTTTTCAGTGTAGCCATTTAGAGTGTTTTAGATACAGGGAACAGTTATTTTAAATATCTGTGCATACATTTGGGTCGGCATTGAATTCTTAGCTTATTCCTGTTACATTTTTAAATTTTCCTTTTTTATGACCAGACTTGGGATTTATTCTGCAATAGTTATAGTGAATGAGTATCTTGGAATTTGAGATTCCTGCTCTAAAAAAGACTGCATTGAAAATTATAAATCTGGATCTCATTTACAAAAGAGACTTAGAACATCTTTGCTCTCATGAATATACTACAGAGGAAGTAAATCTTAAAGTAGCCAAGGCTTAAATTCTGTAGGATTGTGTGGGCCAATGTCTGTCCCTTACACAGCACTGGGAATTAAAAACAAAACAGACGGACGTAAGACCTTCTGAGATTTCCAGGTGGTCTTCATGGGAAATGCTCAGTGGAGTCCACTGAGGCAGTTTAATCAGAAGGGCACTAGGCATGGATCCTGTATAATGAAGTTAACATCTGGGGAGCTGGAGGATGTGGGGAAGAGGTCACCATCTTCTAATTAAATGCAGATGTAGCCAGAGCTGGGAATGGATACTGATCTTAGGTTGTGATTCTTAAATGTGTTCCTGGGACCAGAAATATCAGCATTACCTGGGAACTTGTCAGAAATGCAGATTCTTAGACCCCCACCTTAGATCTATAGAATCAAACTCTGGACCAGAAATCTGTTTTAATGAGCCTTCTGGATGATTCTCCTTCACACTAATGTTTGAGAGCCACGAGTCTAGGGTTGCTTCAGAGTTTAATCCCCACAAACCATCAGAATGAAGCCAAGATAACTGACTCAAAAGGTCATCTTCAGTGCTCTCCGTGCATATTCCTGTCCTTTCTCCTTATCTCTAAAGTGGGAACCAGGATTGCTGTCTGTATTCCATACATTTCAACAATTACCAAACGAACAAATCCACTGTAGAAATAAGTAATCTTTGCAAAATCAAGAATAAAGCATGACCACCTCAGGTGCGCCAAAAATTTGGAACTTGGATTTGGATAGTTTCCTGTACATAACTAAGAATCCAGTTCCCAGATTATTCCATAGTTCATTTCCAGCAGCCAGTGCAAGACACAGTTGGCTTAGGCCCATACTCAACTTCTCAGTGGTAGAAATGCTTTCTTTTTCTTCCCAGATATTCTCTTTTCGTTTGGGTCTCATTAGATCAGCATTTCACCTTGTGGAATTAATTAATAAGCTTTCATCTGCAACAGAAAGTCCTATGCTCACTGAGTGAGCAACATTCCAGTTCTCTTTTAAAATTATTTTCATTTTAACGTTTTTGTTCTCTCCCTTTTCCTCTCATACTTCATTCAAGCTCCTGGTGGGATGAGGACAGCAGATGAAAGAGGATGAGCGAGATTCACAGAGATTGTCATAGGTAGCACCCTCAAGAAGGAAAAAAACCAGGACAGTCCCAAGGACCTCAAGGACCCGGTTTGGTTTCAGAGACATTTCCCAATGTCCTCTCAGACCACACAGAACCTCCTCCTCTCTCTCTCCACCTTCTTCATTGTCTCGTTCCTCTTAACTCTTCTTGCTCCTTCTTCTCCTCTTCCTCCTTTTCATCCTCCCATCCCCTCCTCCCTTCTTCCTTTCTCCGTGTATCCCTCCAAACTTTGGTCTGAACTATTTCTTTCTGGGTGGTTTCGATTTTGCAAAGCATCCCATTTCATTATAGCACCTTCAGAATCTCTGCAACTTCCTCTAAGATCTATCCTCAAAATTAAATCCTTCTCTTTATCTGCTGAATTTTTAAATTCTTGAGAGAAAAGAGAATTTTTTCTTCTATAAGGTTGATATTTCCTTAGCCCTGCTTCCTAAGACAAGAGTTTCCCAATCCTGGCTGTCTTGGCTTCCTCACTGTGTCCTGGTACATTGCAGTCCACCTAGAATGTGGCCATCCTAAGAAGTGACCTCCAGAACTGAACACATATACTTTTCATTTGTGTGTGTGTGTGTGTGTGTGTGT